TGGCATGTATGAGGATCCATGAATGTTGCAAATTTGCAATTAAATCTATTCTCTATATGTGTGCATGTATTATCTTATGTTCTGTTTCTGGTTGACTTTTGCTCAATCTCATATTTATTAGGTTTGATCCTTGTATGCATTCAGTCTTGTGGCAAATATTCTTAGTCCATAACTTTTCAAAACTCTGATGTGGAAGAGTCTACTAATTTATCTTAGTCCAGTATTCTAATGGGATGTGGTTTTGCAAAAACTGCTAGTGGATGATAATTCTTTTCTGAATTTGTTTCTAGATAGAAGTCCTTGGAGTTTCTCTTCCTTGGAGGGGTGTATTTACTAACGAAGGCCCTGGTGCAACATTACCTGAACATACTAAAAAAATTCAGAATGAAACCAATCCTTTCTCTTCTGGGTTAGATACGAATCCATTTTCCGGTGCTTCTTCTAATGAAAATGTGCCACCACCAGTGCAACCAAGTGCATCTGGCAACAATTTGGTTGACCTATTGACTGGAGAGGTCATGCTTTCAGAACACGTTGCTCAGCCAGTGATAGGAAATACTGAGGACAAGGGAGGTGACTTGCTTGATTTCTTGGACCAAGCTATTGTTGAATATCATGGTGCTGAAACTGATCATAAATTCCCTTCATCGCATGATGGAAGGTCTTCAGATAGCAGTTCCCAGAAGTATATTGATTGTTTGAAATCCTGTGCTGGGCCACGTATGGTATGATACTAACTCTTCTGTTATTTCCTTGAACCACTATGCTATATCGTGCTTTATCCTTATAAATTATGTTCAAGGAAGTCCTTTGAAATCCTTCTCTTCAAAAGCATTTAATCAATTTAATTTTTAAAATCTCATATACAATGTTTCCATGTCTTGACTCAATCTCTTTGTTGAGGTTATTGTGTTTCAATGTCAGTATCCGATCACTTTTTTTCATTTGAAATTTATTTCTATCACTTCTGGCTTTACATCCATAATTTTTAAGTCTTTGCATTTGTTGGCAGTATAGATATCAAGTAAGCTTTTTATGACACTCTGCACCCTTTCTCCATCTCACTCCAATGCCACTTCAGCTAAAGCTTGTAAGCTTGACCACTGTGCATATCTATCTCCAATAGCATTCCAAACCACACCCCTCCCTCACCACTCTCCTCACCAACACCCCCACACCCCCCGCCCCCTTTTTATTCTCCCTCCCCAGGATAACCCTCACTTTTTCCATCTTCATAAATTGCTTCTTAGACCCTTTCACGTTCCAAGTAGCTAAGCCTCTTGAAGTGTGACTTTATATTATTTCAATGCATCGGCCTAGCTTGTTGACCAAAACATCCCTAAAGGTCAAACAAGGTTCCTACTTTGATGGATTAGGTCAGCCCAACGCAGTCTATTGACGACCTCTATTGTTTGCAGGAAAGAAAACTAGACTTCATGGGAGCTATGAAACTTGAAATTGAACGCCTCCGGCTGAACATTTCTGCTGCTGAAAGGGATACAGCTTTATTATCAATAGGAACTGATCCTGCTACTATAAACCCTAATGTTTTACTTGATGAACGATACATGGGAAGATTGTGCAGAGTTGCAAACTCCCTTGCACTGCTTGGACAAGCTTCCTTGGAAGACAAAATTACATCTGCTGTTGCTCTTGAGACTACTGATGATAATGTGATAGATTTCTGGAATATAACTAGATTTGGGGAGTGCTGTTATGGTGGCACGTGTGAGGTGCGTGCTGAAACTAATGCACCTACACGCGCCTCCTTTATGGAATCATCAGCAGGAGTTCCTCCGTCTGTCTTGTTATGTTCCCAATGTGAAAGGAAAGTTTGTAAAGTTTGTTGTGCTGGGAGAGGGGCCCTTCTGGTTGCAGGCTATGGCTCAAGGGAGGCCAATGGTGTGGTAAGTCAGGGGGGGTCAAGCCATGGTTTCCAGGTTGATGTATCCACAAATCGTTCAGTAGTGCTGGATGGTGTTATTTGCAAAAGATGCTGCAATGATATTGTGCTTGATGCATTGATCTTGGACTACGTCAGAGTCTTGATTAGCATGAGGAGAAGTGCCCGTGCAGATTCTGCTGCGCATGAGGCCTTGAACCAGGTGATTGGATTTTCGTTAAAGAATTCTCTTTCTGAAAGGAAGCATTCTTCTGATAGACAGGGAGCTATTAAAGTTCAGCAACAATTACTTGACGGAGAGGAATCCCTAGCTGAGTTTCCGTTCGCCAGCTTTTTACACTCGGTAATGTTTTGGCATATATTACGCTCTTGTTTCAGGCTTCCCACAGCAGATTTGTGTCTTATTGCTATGTCTATGTGCTTTCTGGATTATATATTGGTGTTGTTACCACTGTAGGTTGAAACGGCGGCCGATTCAGCACCTTTCTTGTCATTGCTTGCTCCTCTTGATTGTGGACCACGACATTCATACTGGAAAGCTCCTCCTAGTGCCACCTCTGTTGAATTTATTATTGTTCTTGGTAGCCTTTCTGATGTTGGTGGGGTTGTTTTGCTTCTTAGTCCATGTGGTTATTCTGAGGCTGATGCTCCCACCGTAAGTTGTCCTCTATACACTCTCTTATCTATTGAAATTTGGTAAATGAAAAGTCATCAGTTTTTGATATGTTTCCCTTATAATAGGCTTACTGTGACTTAATAGTGAATAATCCTCTTAAAATAATTTTGAAATGCCAAATGTGTCAGAAATCTTGCTTTGTAGTAGATTGTTGCTTTTGCTCCTAAATTTATTTAGCAACGACAGATTGTTAAATTTTGCAACTTTTTATCCTGCACCTTCATTGCTTTCTGTACATTCTATTTTGACTAATTCACTCCTGTTGTTAGTACAGGTTCAGATCTGGGCCAGCAATAAAATACACAAGGAAGAAAGGTCATGCATGGGAAAATGGGATGTGCAGTCCCAGATCATGTCTTCCTCTGACTATTATGGACCAGAAAAGTTGGTTAGAGAAGACGAAGTACCTAGGCATGTGAAGTTTGAATTCAGGAATCCAGTTAGATGCCGCATTCTTTGGATAACATTACGTCTTCAGCGACCTGGTTCTAGTTCTCTTAATTTGGGGAACTTGAATCTGTTGTCTCTTGACGAAAATCCATTTGCAGAAGTAACTCGGCGCGCCTCTTTTGGAGGAGAAGTTGACAGAGACCCCTGTATTCATGCCAGAAGGATACTGGTAGTAGGAAGCCCGGTAAATAAAGAGATGGCAGATACATCAGCACAAGGCTCAGATCAGATGAATTTGAAAGGCTGGCTGGAGAGAGCTCCACCACTAAATAGATTTAGGGTAACATATCATGCTTAGCTGCTTTATTCAATCAAAACTCTTGCTTCCTTATTGAATTTGTATCATGGGCAAATTCATTTTTTGTCATTTTTTGTTCTTCCAGGTTCCGATTGAGGCTGAGAGGCTGTTGGACAATGATATTGTTTTGGAACAATATTTATCTCCTGCTTCACCTTTGCTTGCTGGATTTCGTCTTGATGCTTTTGGTGCAATAAAGCCTCTGGTTACCCATTCACCCTCTTCAAATGCGCATATCTGGGATATGTCAGCAAGACTTGTAGATGAGAGACACATCTCTCCAGCCGTGCTTCATATACAAGTATCTGTTGTCCAGGTACTCACTAGACCTGCTTTATTGTTATGCTATTGGTGAGGGTGAAGGGGGGTTAGGTAGGGTATTTCCATGTGGCTCAATTAGCCCAATGGGTATGAAGACGTTAATATGCACATCCACATCAGTTTAGCGAAATTTGTATCATATATCATATTGGAAAATCAATATTGTATATGATAAGTTTCTTTCTGTGATAACTTGGGTGAATTTCAAAGTCCATTTGAACTTATTGGAGACAATAATTATTACAGGAACCCCACAGCTTGTTAACGATTGCAGAATATCGGTTGCCAGAGGCTAAGGCTGGAACACCTATGTACTTTGATTTCCCCCGAGAGATACAAACCCGTAGAATCACATTTAAACTTCTTGGAGATATTACAGCATTTGCAGATGACCCAACAGAACAGGATGATCCCAGTTCTAGAGTTCTACCAGTGGCAGCAGGCTTGTCACTGTCCAATAGAATCAAGTTGTATTACTATGCTGATCCATACGAACTTGGAAAATGGGCAAGCCTTTCAGCAGTTTGAATTATAGTGTTGCTGTAGTAGGGAGGGAGGGGGGCAAAGAAAGGGGTTTTGGGTCTTGAGGATTGATTTTTGATCGATTTTGTGGCTGTGTATTCTTCTTCAATTTGTTTTCATTTTTTCCTTCTTGTAATGTTATTATATTATCATTCATTGATGTAATAATATCAGTAGTGTTGTTTATCTTTTTCGTTGAGATAAGATCATCGGTAGTGTTAGGGAATCAGAAACACGTCTGTCTCTATTGTGCAAGTCTGGTGAGATTATGTTATGTTGTTCAAAACCAAGTCTTTAGTGTGTATTTGGAGCCAAAGAACCTTGTAAACTGACTTGTTTGGTTGAGCTAATTAGTTGATGTGATTCGATTGTGGCATTTTCTAATGTTTCTCTTTTCTTTCCTTTTTTAATCAAATCTTGAATGTAAGATAAAAGGTTTCGGATGCAAACGACATTTTAACAGGCGAAGAAGAACAAACTCGTTCATTTCCGTTAGGCCAAAAGAGATGAGTGAATTTGTGACACTCAGCGCGGGGCTTCTTCTAGCATTGTCAATTCCAATGCTTTCATGGGTGGATGTCATGTCAGTGGGGGTGGCACTGTAGTAGCTGGCCAAGGTCCTCTTGCCCTTGTTCTTCATCTTCACTTTCCGGCCATCGATTTAAATCTATGACAAGAATCTTGTTTTCAGTTTGCTTACCTATGTATGTTCTGATTAATTATGTTATTATCTGTTCCTATTATAAATTAAGACTGGACGGACACACAATAATTGTAGATGATATATTCAACAAGAACATATATATAAACAAGAAGAAAAGATGACATATATATATATATATATATATATTGTCTTGCTTGTACACATACAACCAGTGACAGTCGACAGGGAGGGTTCCCACTTCATTGGTGTTGTTTCATTTATTTAATTACTTTAAAATATAGGGTACTGTCAGGCAAGCTTGCATAGTCTTGCCAAATCAATAATAGTATAAATGAAATCAAAGACCACAGAAGTTGTTAACACAAACCCTGTAGTTTTGACCGAGCTGTGAGGCCAGATACTGAAGATGGTTCAATGGCTTATATCGTAAAGGGTGTTGATCATCGATGAGCTCCTCCGGCACACTTATGGTTCCACTGTGAAATGTCGACAGCAACACCGAGTATCTCACTTCCTTGTCGCTCATCATCACTCGATGCACGCAAGGTTTTATTCTGTCATTGCTCCACACCTGGAAGCCATCGCCGGTCATGAATATAAACGAATTAGGCGATACATCAAAAGGAACCCAGTCACCGTTTGCAATCTTCACCTCCAAGCCATTGACATGATTCTGATGAATTATGGTGGTGAGGTTCATGTCGGTGTGCTCAGGAAGCGCCATGTGCTCCTCACCTGCTGCTCCTGCTCCATCATATTTGTGCAGTCGCAGTACATAATCAGTTGCTCCAATATGACTCTCGCACCATTTGTTGTCCACGCCGTAGTGTTCAAATATCATTCTCGTCACAGTCTCATCTAGCCTCACCACCACTTTCGCATACCCATCAGCACTTTCACTACGTATATTATTATCAATTCATTAATTAACTAAACCAAGATTAACATGCATGTAATTAATCCTCTAATTCCAACAACTTACGAGAAGTTAGGATGATTTCCATTGGGCCAAAAGAGGTTGGCGAAGTTGTGAATTGCTTGAGGGTTTGTTGGATCATCGATCCCCAAGCCTTCATGGACGTCATTAGGGGAATGGTAGCCGCGGAAAGGCTTGTCATAAGTGTTTTGCAGTTTGATTTCTTTTGGGAAACCAAACAGCTCGTCTAAGCTCCCAAAGATTTTGTTGTACTCGTCAGCATCAGCATCTGACAGTGTTGCTACAAAACAGCCGTACTCTTCCAGTGCCTGGCAGACTTGCGCCCGCGCTTCCACCCAACAACTACTACTACTACTACTAGTACTACTTGTATGGTTGATTATCTTGGAAAAATCTACAACCGGAATCTTGGCCTCCTGTGTATTTCTCTCGGTAACACCCATATTTCCTGTACCGGCTGATTGATCGATCAATTTCCCTAATTAAATTTCTCATCACTTTTTGTACTCTTAAGGCCGCCCAGACTAGCCACCACATTTGACTTCAATTAGTCGATATTTGACTTTTATGCCCAATTCAGTTGCTCAGCGTTGATTGTAGCCCTGTTTGGGAGAGCTTCTGATAGCGTTTGTTAAAAAAGTCTAGGTCATAGAAGTGGTTCTTAGAAAAGCACCATACTTTTCGCATGGGCATGTGATGAAGTGAATAAATTATTGCTCAATTAAGATTTCTTATTATTAGGATATAATATCAATAAATATCATTAAATTGAATTAATGAAGCTAATTGGGGGTCGTTTTGTCTTTTTAATTTTATTATTAGTTTAATTAATGAAGGCCTAATGTATTTTTATATCCAATAGGGCCACGGGCTCATATGATAAGCCCGCACGAAAATTTTAAGTTTTAGCCAGAGACTAACCCAAATTCATATGGCCTCTTTCTTTGCCAGAGGCCTAATGTGTGTGACCCAAAACATTGTTTGGTCCCCGAACTAGCGGTCCAACTTAAAGGGTTCAAATGAGTGAAATGCCCCTACATACCTTTTTGTAAAGACCAAAAAACCTTAAACGACTCATCTAATCGCACCCGTCCATCACACCACAAAACCCTACTAAACCACACATCAGTCCACAGCCGTTGATCCTAAAATCCATCAGGGAAGCTCACTATATAAAACGCCAGCCTCAGAGTCCAAACCCTAGCCGAGTCTCTCTCTCACTTCCCCTTGTTTCGTTCGGCAGCTGATCCTCTGCAATGGTGAGTTTCCTCACGTGTGCTCTGTTTCCTCCATCCCAAATACACACTCTGTACCTGTTCATTTCGTTCCGTTTGAAATCTTAATAGTAATTATTTGATGTACGGCTACTTTGGAATTTGGCTAAGTAGGTGCATTTTGCAATCTATGAACGGCGCTGGGCTTTAGTTCATTTTAGCGAATGATATGCGTTTCTTATTTCCTTTTGGTTCAGATGAATTCTGGGCTTTAATATTTGATTCTTCATTCATCGCTGTATATAATGAAGACGTATGTTGTGTTTTTCAGTTTCAACTTGTGTATACATTTTTATGATTAAATTTATATATAAACTATTTTTTTTTTAATTATGGGCATAATTTCTTCTTGTTACCTTTGGTAGGTACTGTTTTTTTCTATCTCAGTCAATTAGATCTGTCTGCATTGTAGAATCATTTACTTAAAAACACTGTGATTTGGGTTGGCAATGACCTGATGTTTATACATTATTTTCAAGGGAATTAAAAAGTTTGTTCAATTATTCGTTGTAGGCCTTCGTCAAAGCTCAAAAGTCCAAGGCCTACTACAAGCGGTTTCAAGTCAAGTACAAGAGAAGGCGAGGTATTTATTTCGTGTTTCATGGTAAATGATCTTGACATTTTTGTCATATTTTGTGCGCATGATAATTTTATTTTCTATTATTGTCCGCAGAGGGAAAGACTGATTACCGAGCCAGAATTAGGCTCATTAACCAAGACAAAAACAAGTACAACACACCCAAGTATCGGTTTGTTGTGAGATTTGTATCCTGAAAATTGTCTGCCAACTTATGCGCTTTTGGGTCTTGTTTTTCATTTTATATTTGTCTTTTACAGGTACCTTCTCCAGGTACCGAGTTAAATTTTAAATGGGCATTTATTTAATTATTGTTTATTGGTGATCTTAATTTTTTTTCCATTATCTATGTTTTCAAACTTAACTTGGTTGTTAGACCAACAAGGATATTGTTGCCCAAATTTTATCTGCCAGCATTGCTGGCGATTTGGTTCTTGCTGCAGCCTATGCCCATGAGCTGCCAAGCTATGGACTTGAAGTCGGCCTCACAAACTATGCGGCAGGTATTTTGACCATTGTCTTTTACTAGATTAATCCATTCTGGCTCCTTGCTTGAGTACAGCTTGTGGGGGTCGTAACGGTATATTTTATGATCAGCTTACTGCACTGGCCTTCTCTTGGCTCGTCGTGTCTTGAAGAAGCTTGAGATGGATGATGAATATGAGGGCAATGTTGAGGTAGTATGAATTGATTATCATCATCTCTGTTGCCTTATCTCAAAGGAAATCCCTTCATTTCCCTCTTGCTTATGTGATTGTATTTTTAAAATTTATGTGGTATTCCAGGCTACCGGTGAGGACTATTCTGTAGAGCCAGCTGAGAGCAGAAGGCCATTCCGTGCTCTTCTTGATGTTGGCTTGATTAGGACAACCACTGGAAATCGTGTGTTTGGTGCCTTGAAGGTAAGGTAGCAGATTATGATTTTAGGTTCTGAGCTGTTTTTGTGATGACAAGAATCAAGTTTTTGTTTTTGTTTTTGATTTTTTTTGTCCAAATTTATTATAATGCATGAGGTTTGCATAATTCTGTTGTGTTCATGGTGTGCCCTCTTGCTTATGCTTTTCTGGTGGTACCATGGAGATTAATTTTTTTAATAACCAAATACAGGGTGCGTTGGATGGTGGATTGGATATCCCACACAGTGAGAAGAGATTTGCTGGTTTCTCCAAGGATAGCAAGCAGCTTGACCCTGAGGTGCATCGCAAGTATATCTATGGCGGTCATGTTGCTGCATACATGAGGGTGAGAGTTGAAAGTTCATATCATGCATGCCCATTTCACTTTTCTGGTGAAAAGCATTGATATTTTTGGCTCAAATTCTTAAGTGTTTGTTTTCTAGACCTTGATTGAGAATGAGTTGAGGAAAAGAGTTGAGAAGTCAGGTTATGCATGCCCATTTTACTTTACTGGCCATAGGACATCATAATTGCTTGCTTAAACTTGTATTTGTCTGTTTTTTAGACTTTGATGGAGGATGAGCCTGAGAAATATCAGACTCACTTCAGTGACTATATCAAGAAAGGAATTGAAGCAGATAACATTGAGGCCGTGTACAAGAAAGTTCATGCTGCCATCCGTGCTGATCCTACAGCAAAGAAGATTGAAAAGCAACCTCCCAAAGAACATAAGAGGTAAAAATGGATTTTGTTTAATGTTTCACAGTTATGGATGTGTTTATATGGATCATAGTTTCAGTGTCTGCATGGTATGATCAGCTGCTTATGCGTTCAAATTTATTAATCATTTGAAGGATTGAATATTGGAAAGTTGCTTGCCCTTGTATACTTTATTTTGCTGTACTTCAATGGTACAAGTATATACCACCAATACAAAATCATTATAGGTGTTGGTGAGGATTATAGCGTCAAATCATTTTAGTTATTGGTAGGCTAAAGTGTTGAATCATTTTGGATCCTTATTTTTTGTGTTTGAATAAAGTGTGTTTGAAACTGGTTCTATCACATCCAACCAAATTTGCTTTTTCGGGTAACAGGTACAACCTCAAGAAGCTTACATATGAGGAAAGGAAGAACAAGTTGATTGAGCGATTGAATGCCTTTAACTCAGCTGCTCAAGACCACGATGATGATGAGTGAAACTATTAATTGGGATGCGAGATCTAGTTTGTTTCCCCTTAGGACATCTTTTTGAACTATCGGGCATAATATCTATGTTCTCTTTATATATTTTAGACGTTTGGATAATGTTCTTGTTTGGAGGTTCAAGCCAGAAATCCGACTAAAGTTTTGACGATGTTATATAAGTTTTCGTGTTGGCTTTGCTACCTGGAGTATTATTTTTGTGTTGGTTTGCTTATTTTCAAACAGTGGTTTTCCTAATAGGAAGTGTCCATTAGGTTAACGGGAATGAAAAAAATAGGGGAATGAAATTATGATGGGCTCCTAAGTACAGAGTAATATTTCCCCCAAGGAATAAGCGTAGAACCTATTTTGTAAGGTCAATCCAACTTACTGGTGGTGACTGTCTTCTTGAAAGGGGTGCCTCCACTAATTCTATCTAATCTCATTTGTTTTGGATTTCTAATGAAATTACAAGACGAAAAGGTTATGAAGTTCAAGTAAGACGGAATCTGTCTGTAATTTCATTAGAAGGGAATATGATATCCAAATTTTGGCATCAGCATTCAGCAGCAATTGGGACGAATGGCATATGCAATTGATGCGTTTGTAAGTCAGAAATAAATCATCAGCCAGCTTAGCTTAGAGACGGTTGGAGGCGAGGAGGAAGGGGGTCCACAACAAGTGAACCTTATCTAGTGCCAGCCAATAGACTTGTATACTAAAAGCTTGAAAATCCAAACAAGTCTACTCGCAACACACGCTCACAATTGGATCTCTTCAAAAATTCGAGTACCCTGACCTGACCTGAGTGAGCACCCAGTGAGATAGAGATAGAGATAGAGAGGCTATGGCTCATTCACTAGCCTCACCACCACCACAACCACCGCCCGCTACCGCAACAACAACTAAGAACAACTCCTGTTTCCAATATTGTGTGGGTTTCCAAAAAGTCAGGGCTTGCTATGATCAAGTATCAGACGGTGCCAATGCCAATGCCCATGCCCGCAATAACAGACTTGTTATCAACAGCCGCAGGTTGGTTGGTTACTATTTGATTCATTATTCTCTCCATTCAATTATGTATATGTATGTGTTTATTATGTGAGGTGAGGACATGAAATGCTGCAACTTGGAGACTTGAAACACACGATGATGGTATGTGTGTGTGTGTGCAGGAGTTTGGGATTGGGTTTGGCTGGTGCACTTATCAGCTTCAATGTAAGTGACCCAAGTCCGATTGCAAATGCGGCAGCCAGACGGCCTCCACCGCCTCCAGCAGAGGAGAAGGAGAAAAAGGACCCCAATGTGAGTGGAGTTTTAGCCAAAGTACTGGCCAGCAAAAAGAGGAAGGAAGCCTTGAAAGAATCCGTGGCAAAGCTAAGAGACAAGGGGAAGCTCATTGAACAACCATCCCAATCCCAACCCTAGTTTCTTTCTTTCTCTCTCTTCTTTTTCAAGGACCAAAGGAATGAAGAAGAGGGTTTTGTCCCTTCATTGTTGTGTATGCTCTTCCAGTATTATTATTGGACAGGCTTTCATTCGCATTTTTGTCTTGTCTTGTTAGTGCCACTGCCAGCCAAACCAACTTGTTGCTGCTGCTGGTATATGACATATCATATGTAATCTAATCAGGGTCTTTTTCATTCATCAAATTGGATCATCTTCTTAAATACCATCTCCAATACATTTGTTTATTGGCCAGTTGTAGTTGACAAGGTTTTCCAAACTTGAAAAATTAAAATATGGATGGTTCACCTTCAGAATTCCCCAAGCAAATTCAACACTAGTCTAGTTCCAATTTCCAGAGAGAGAGAGAGAGAGAGAGAGAGAGAGAGAGAGGAGTTTTGAAATTCCACAAAATACGACTGAATATGCAAACCGACATCTCTGCAAAATCCTTCTTAACTTAACAATGGTGCTTTCTTTCGTTGTCTGCTTCAACTGAGGACCACTTTTCTCTGTTTGTTCAAATAGAACTTACTGCTTTTAATTCAAAACCTTCATCCACTAAGATTACATCTTTTTCCTTTTTCTCTCTGCCACAAGTTTGAAGCATACGACTCAAATGGTTCCGTTGTTTCGGGAGATAAATCAAAGGAGGTCCTTGACTAATTTTTTTTTCTCATCTTCTGTGACTTACCAAGTTACCATGATAAAGCTTTCTGCCGTCTTTGTGGGAGGATTTCTCTCTAAGCAAGCTATCATTCACCATTAGATCTCAATTTATCGTACTAATTCTGTGTATGTAGCTACGTTTTTGGTTGTTAAATTCAAGTTTTAGCTTGAGTCACGCAGGAATATAATACTCAGAGCATTCTTCTAGCAATTATTTGTTTTCATTCTTTTGCATTTCTTCAGAAACTGTCCTTTTGTCTTCCAAGAATTTGCAAGGATAATGATATGCTCATTTGATCTCACATTGCAGCTCTCTCCAAGGGAAATCTCAAATCTAAAACATCACATTGAAATTTGATAGCAGACATGGCAATTTGATGTACAATACATTTTCTCATTCCACCCAATATCTCTTTTGATTTGTTAAGCAAATGCCCACATTGGGTGTTTGGGTATCAAGAAAGAAAACACTTGGACACGTCTTCATTTCAGTCTAAAACATCAAGGATAAGAAGGTCTTTTTGCCACGGTAAAAGGACTATAACTATCGGGAACCGCCTTGGGCCATTCATAAGGCCGACTCCGTGGCCTCATTCTACCATCTATTGTGGTTTTCCAATCTAGGCCGAGGGGGCTAGGTTTCTTCAGACAATCAGGGCCCAAGGTTAAGATTTCTCTAGAAATTCAAGGCTCGAGTTTATGATTTGCTAGAGAAAATTTTGCTTCTGTCTTGTTCTAGGAATTCGTTTTTACATTCGCAACTATGTCGACGATGCTAGCTTCCTGAGAATTACGACACAGTTTGGGTTTAGGGCTTTTCGATGGCTAAGGAGAACGAATCGGCTTCGCAGGCCACCGTCAATGGAGACAATGCACTCACGAGATCTACAATGTCGTCCATCGGGGTGAGCGTCGTTACCCTATCTTTTTGTATGCACATTTTCCCTGTATTAATTCTAGGGTTTTTTTGTTTAGATAGGAAGAGGATGTGTTTTGCTTAGGGAAACACATGGAGAATGTACGAGATATCGATGGTGCTGTCCTCATTCTTGGCGTGACGATAGACTTGTGTTAATAATGGTGAGCATTTTTGCCCTATTCCTCTGTTCGCACCTTTTTCTTGTATTAATTCTAGGGTTCCTTTGCATGATAGAAGAACGCTTAGGGTTTCACCACATGCGGTGATACCTGATTGGCTTTAAATCTAATGGTTGTAGAAATAATAGCATTTAAACAATAAATGAAGTTTATGGAGTGGAGTCGAATTAGGGTTCTTGAATGTAGGTGTGCATCAGATGCATTTTTTAAAGATTTGGGATCACAGAGAGCAGAGAACGTTATTCTGATCACCAACTTCATGTCCTCCCTTATTTTGAGGACAAGAAATTGGTGGTGAAAAGGGAGAGCATAAATGAGTTTTCCTTTTCTATTTGTCTGTTTATATTTCCAACTTTATCTCGATCGAGAGTGAAAAAAATGGGGAAAAAATAGAAAAACCATTTTTACATTATCTACATCTCAAGTATAGATAAATTTCTGCTGAGTCCAAATTTAAGTTTTTGAGGTCATTCTACAAACTATGTATTTTTTAAAGAGGTTTTGATTTTGCATTTTCTTTTGTAACTTGTGTTTGAAAAAACGTATAAATCTGGAAGTTTCAAGGAAAGTCACTTTCTAAATCCTTTATTGCGAAGGATGCTCCAAGAAATTTCTCATACAGGCACGTTTATTTTATACTACCACCATTTGTTCCTGTTTCTTTACAATTTGTAGAATGATCTTATGTCTGCTCTTTAAGTGAGCTGCCCTTTAAGCCTTATGATAGTTTCTTATGTTGTAAACTTTAAAGCATAACAAGATGTGGTACTTCTGTAGAATTTTGTGACAAGCCCGTGGGAAGGAAAAGAGAAGCCTTAGTAAAAGGACCTTCATCCTTCCATTCATATTTTTCCTCTCTCACTCACACACACACATGCAGACAGTGACATTTCAATACATATAGGACTTTGTAAAAATATTCAATTTATCATTTAAGATTAAATCATACCATTATTTATATAGGATATTATTAACCCTGCTTCCCTTAAGCATTTCATTCAACTTCCTAGAGTTTGTTAGGGGCAACTGAAGAACCTTTGGGTTTGAGTTATTCAAATAGATCCTATCTTATGTGGCGCCAATGGGTAACCCATTGCCTGTCCCTACCTGCTTTACAAGTGGCGCCACAACACAGGGACAAGTATGATTTCTTTGCATTGCAGGCTCCAAAATATAGCAAGGAATTCTTCATGGGGTCTTGGACACACCCAATCTGCAATCTGGGTTTGATACTTTTAACTTTCTCCTATCACAAATTACGTTAAACCTTCTATATGATAGAATTTTACCACTCATCTTTAGGGCTGTAGTACTAAATGGACAATGCTGACTTTCATGATTTGCTGAGATCTGTATCTGTGGTCTTCTTCTTTTGTGTGTCCATGTGTGAATGCTCAAACGTCCGGTTTCATATGTGACGCACATCAAACCTTAGTTGATTGCATAACATGAATTTATAGTAATATATTTTATTAATTTCCAAACATGATTTTGATAAGTCATGGGTGATGAGAAGACTGTCTTTTGCAGCACTGGATTAATTCTTAATGATGTCAAAATACTGTTTTCTAACTAACTGAGGGTTATCCGTTTTTCTTTACTATTTGCCCTTTTTTAACGTCTTTAGACTTGTAAACTGACTGTCATTGCAGGGATATGTGAGTTGCAGAATCATGGTCATATTCTCATCAGTGGAACATTAGTATGTTGCAGTATATTCCTCAGTTTGATGTCAAATTTCTTCATATAGAATTAAAGGTTTTATAAAAACTGACATTTTTTTAAGTAGGGGGTTAAATTTTGGCTATTTTTTATATAATCTCCTCCAAAGGAGATGTCAAATCAGCAGAAAAAATAATAGAAAACCCACTCAACCAAATAGCTTTAAGCCCACATGGATTGGCGTTCTTGTTCAAAAAGTAAAAAATGACGCCCGATGCTTTTGGTGTCTTTTTTGTACTTTACGTAATCTCATGGGTCGTTTTATGGCCATAAAAGCCCATCCTTGTTTTTAAAGAAAAAAAAGAGACAGAGAGAGAGACTCTGGATTAACTAGGCATGGGCGAAGAAAACTGTTAAAAAATGGGTTTTACCAATCGTGTATAGCTTTGGACTCACTGATCTGACGAGAGAGACAGAGAATTGGGCCAAGGAATGAGCCATAAACGTCCGAATAAGACCACCTAACAGCCCATGAACAACAAAATTGGGCCAATTAAGGAGGCATGAACGATTAAAAAGGCCCACTGGAAAACCCATACAAGATAAACAGGCCCAACAAAGGGCCAATAAACTAAAAAAGGGCCCCACGAATGGCCACTAGACGACAAAGTAGTCCCAATGTAGGGCCACTGAACAACAAAGTAAGCCCAAAGAAGAGTCACCAGAAGACGAAACAGGCCATGTATAGGACTAAACGACAAAATATAGGCCCAATGAAGGCAAATAAATGAGACGAGGCCCAATAACAGGCCACTGAACGACGAAAATTGGCCCAATCATTGACCCCTAAAAGACAAAATAGACCCAATAAGTGGCCACTAAACGACAAAAATAGGCCCAATGAAGGACCGCTAAAAGACAAAATAAGCACAAAAAGGCTGAACGACAAAAATTGGAAATACGAATGACCGCTAAAAGACAAAATAGGCCCAATGATGGGCACTAAACGACAAGCACTGCTAAAAGACAAAATAGGCCTATGGCCACTAAACGACAAAAATAAGTACCGCTAAAAGACAAAATAGGCCCAAAAGGAACACTAAAAGACAAAATTGGCCCAATTAGGGCCATCAACGACAAAATTGGCCCATCAAAAGAGCACTAACCGACAAAATAGGCCCATTAAAGAGCTCGAAAACGAAAAATGGTCATGGGCCTATTTTGTCGTTTATTGTCCCCCGGCCTATTTTGTCTTTTGGTAGTCCTTCATTGGGCTAGGGTTTGTCGTTTAGTGTACCTCATTGGGCCTATTTTGTCGTTTAGTGATACATTTTCTGGGCCTATTTTGTCTTTTAGTGGTCCTTAAATGGTCTAGTTTTTGTCGTTTAGTGGACCTCATTGGGCTATTTTTGTCGTTTAGTGTACTTCATTGGGCCTATTTTGTAGTTTAGTGCGCCATTTTGGGCCCCTTTGTCTTTTAGCGGCCCTTAAAATGGTCTAGTTTTTGTCGTTGAGTGGACCTCATTGGGCCTAGTTTGTCTTGTAGTGTACCTTCCTTGGGCTTGTTTTGCCGTTTAGTGCTCCATTTTCTGGGCCTATTTTGTCTTTTAGCGGTCCTTAAATGCTTTAGTTTTTGTCGTTTAGTGCACCTCATTGGGCCTATTTTGTCGTTAGTGCTCCATTTATGGGCCTATTTTGTCTTTTAGCGGCCCTTAAAATGGTCTAGTTTTTGTCGTTTAGTGGATGTCATTGGGCTATTTTGTCTTCTAGTGTGCCTTCCTTGGGCCTATTTTGTCTTTTAGTGGCACTTAATTGGGCTTTTTTGTCGTTTAGTTGCCGTCATGGCCTATTTTGTCTTTTAGTGATTCTTTTTGGCCAAATTTGTCGCTTAGTAGCCTATTTTGTCTTTAGTGTGCCGTTGGGGGGCCATTTTTGTCGTTTAGTGGCCTTTATTGGGCTGCTTTGTCCTTTTTTACCTTCATTGGGCCTATTTTGTCGTTTTATGATTTACATGGCCTGTTTTGTCATCGAGTGACTCTTCTTTAGGATTACTTTGTCATTCAGTGGCCCTTCATTGGGACTACTTTATCGTTTAGTGGCCATTCGTCGGGCCCATTTTGTAGTTTACTGGCCCTACATTCGGCCTATTTACCTTGTATGGGTTTTCCAGTGGGCCTTTTTAATCATTTATGGCTCATTCATTGGCCCAATTTTGTCTTTCATGGGGCTTTAGGTGTCCTATTTGGACGTTGATAATAAACCTTAAACTTGACGACGCCCAATTCAGTATTGCTGGTCGGAATTATATCCAAGTAATAACTACAATCCGCAGCACTCAAATAAAAGAATTGATATTATACAGACTTGTTTTGATTGAAATTAGATCAAATTAGTCAAAAAAACAAAAGGGAAATTTGAGGCGAACCTGGGAAAAAAAAACAGTTAAACAATTAATAAAATAATATCAAGACTCAAAAGTTGAGACAAAATTAAACAATTAGAACCATCAGAAATAATAACAATTGGAAGGTGTGCAAAATAATAAGTTGAACCGAAGCAGAACTACTGAATGTGCAAGTGTACGACACAACAAACATAAGAAAGTCGCACTAACGAACTAACTGATAATAAAAAAATCATTGCACGTCTCTAGAAGAAACATCAATACTAAAAAATTACCTACAAAATAAAAAGCTGGCATTTCAGGAACGATAATGTTTTTAAAATGTGGGCAAACTTGAAAGGTAGTTATATGAAAGCATATCAAAAAAACCATATAATAAAAAAATTAAAGTTAAAATGCAACAAGTGGGAATGATAGGAAGAACAGTTTGTTATGTCAATAACAAAAAAGAACATAGAACAACAGGTTCTTTTATTTAAAATACAAGATGCTGCAACTCATAGGAAGAACGTTTGGTGTGGGATAACCGCTGAATGTTGAAGATCGCAAACCAGAACACAACTCCTGAAGAAACATTTTAAAATACTCTATTACTACATTTGTACATTCATAACTTCGTTTTAAACACCATTTTACTACCAAAAAGAATACCTGCCAATACATGGAAAACAATTAAAACAGAAATTATATATGTCTTATATCTTCCAGCTTGTACACAATCCAAAGGTATTGTCAATAGATAACAAAATGTGAACGCTAAACAGCTACAATGAGAAATTATATCAAATTAAGATTGATATGTACCAACTACAACTGGGAAATATAACAGAACACCAGAGAGAGAGAGAGTGAACAGACTTCTAAATTTATAACTGCCAATCTATCCTCGGTATATATTTGACAATGCGGGCAGATAAATTTTAGTTCTACGAAATTTACTGCTTCAAATTAAATTTCCATGGTAATAACCTATAAACATTGCTTGGGTGCATAGATGCAAAAGCAAATACTGAGAACTTCTCAGACTCCTTGCATTCTCATCCTAACTTGAAAAGTTGAGAAGGGGAGAGTCTAATTAAAACACTCAGATTACTGACATTGCCTAGAACATTGTGTGCGACAATATTCGAATAATGCACTAACCCATTTATGATTTTTTACGTTCTAACATTGAGAGTTAGAGAAACCCCATCATCCGATGTTCTCTTTTTGTCAGAACATCAAGTTGCCGAACAGTCTAGTTATGCATGGTTATTAGACCACCCGATATTGCTACAAATGATTACTTTTAAATTCACCACGCCACCGTGTATCACTGATGTAATGTCACAATGTTCCCGATTCCACATGTAAGATACCGTCCCCCACTACCTCATATCAGAATACATCATTCAACAAAAATTTGCTATTTCAAAGCGCTCCCATAATGTGTGTCAATTTTGCTTTTGTCAGATATATCGTTCAATTTTTCAACAATACTATGCTATTTGTCTCTGGAAACTTATTTTTATTCATTTTGTTTCCATTTAAAAACGAAAAATGAAATTTTACAAAAGAAAAACATACATCCACATGCTTGAATGAGTAAGGAGTAAAACCTTAAGGATATGGAAGGTCCGCTGTCAGTGCCTCTATCAGTCCACATCGCACCCTATCGCATCTTGAGCAAGCAGGGAGTGTACCTGGAATGGAAGCAAACAGCGAACGCATTAATGCATTGAATTAAAGACCGACCTACTAATTAATTCCTCAGGCATGTCGCTCTATCAAATAAAAAACAATGATCTCAGTAAACCCTAAATTTCAAAATCAACTTTGACGGGTCCTGGAAACCCCATACCTAGCCCCATCAGATCTCTGGTCTTGGTGTTAATTACTACGCGATTTCAACGGTGAGCTCTTGAACGGATCCGATCGTGGATCAATGGCGGTCATCGAGGCGTTAAACCTCGCAAAACAAGAATCGCATTGGAGGAGCTTTTCTTCATGCCCCGTCGTCTCTCTCTTTCTTCACGCTCATGTCTCTGATCTACAGCGAAGGCTCCGATCACAAAGACAATGCCATTGTTAGGGTTTCCAGACCTTCTCTGTGTTTCACATCTCTCATTTTCTCAGATCTGCTCTCACTCGCGTTTGGGACTCTGTGAGGGCCCGAGGGTTAAGGTTTTATCATTTGCGAGATCAGGCGCCTTTTTGGATAAGAAGGTTTTCTTCTTCATACGATGTCGTTTCCTTTTGTATTATAATTTAGAATTTATAGAGTTAGTGGACTGGACTGGTTTGCTTAATTGCCTCGACCCTGGACTCGGCCGCGTGTCCTCACTTTCAATTCGCATTGGCCCATCCCTTCTTCTTTTTTTTTTTAGAAATTGGGCCATCCTCTTGTATTAGTCCAGAAAATGTCTGCCCACTCGGTTAAATGTCCGTATACATTCCTTACTTGCAACAAAATAAAATGTAATGGATTTGAAATACTTGCAATGACAACCCTTTCTTGTTATTTTCTCGAACCAAATTGTTTACCCACTCTATCAAATGTGAATTCATTTTGGCTGCCTCAGTTCGACGTTTATGGAATCATTTTTGAAGTATATTCATTCTTAAATACTCCATAAAATTGGTAATAGGTAATTTACGAGCATCTCTAGTGATTGAGTTGAGACATTCGGCAATATTTATTGTCATTAGGCTGTACCGCTTCCTATTAAAGTGTGCACAAGCCCACTTTTCATATCCAGCCGCATAAGATAATCACCCACTTTATAATCAACATTAAATATTTGCACCATAAGATGATCAAATGCGTGAACAAGATATGCATCGACACACCAACTTCAAATCTTTCTTTATTGGATCTCTTCACTTTTAACTCATAATTTTTCGTCATAGCATCAATACCCAACTTTATGTTTATATCCTCCCTAGTCTCATGCACTTAACCTACATTTATATCTGCACTTGTGTTGCATAGCTATGTCATGTCTGATCCATTTACATAATTTTTATCCTTGTTCCGAGCATTTGGTTTGTTGGGGTTGGGTTCATCAGAGTGCACATCGATAGCTGGAACATCATCACATCCCATGTTTTCACGAGGCAAGTCATTGAATTCAACATTATCTTGGAACACTTTATCAACCTCTACATGTGGCATATCCTCAAATTGCATGTTCTCACAAAGCAACTCATCTAGCTGTGTTGTAGTGTTTTCCTCTTCATATTTTGAGTGTACTCAATTTCTGCATTTCCCAAGTCATTTTCTGAATCATGGTATTGATCATTATCTTCTAAATTATCTTGAGTACCCAAATTGAGGTCTATTGGCATTGGCTGATTGCTTCCACTTCCATAAGAAAATATTTTATGCTTCAATGTAATGCACAATGAAATCTTGTAAGTCCTTGAAAGACTTACAAAAATAAAAGCTCTCATATCATCATCATCAACTATTTCTGCAGGCCATGCACTTTTCATTGCATCGTATATGACTTTCATATTTATCTCATACTCATTTTGATCCACATTTACAATGTCATATACCTTATTC